ACCGAGCCGGTATAATTTTTGATGGCTTCAATACCATGAGTGGCAGGTGGCTGAATTCTACGGAGACTTGCCACAGTCTCCAAACCTCCTCCTTTCTCATCCGGGCTTGTGATCGGCAACGGTAGAGTTCTGATTGTAGGTTTATACTGTTGTTTATGTAGCAGTGTAATCTCTTCGTTCCATTCTTCTTTTCTCTAGCAATATTAGTGCTTCGTGCAGGCCCGCATTTCCAGCATATCTGTCACATCTACTTTTCGCTTGACAGAACCAATAGATCTTGCTTCAGATAACCCTTGTGATTAATTTGGCTACTGATAAAGCACCCATTATGAATGATTTCAGGTATGCCCCTTCTCGGTGACACCACTCGTCCATTTCAGTATTTTGTCGCGTCGCCGCTTCTTCATCCGTATTCCAGGGCAATAATTCAGAAGGACGATGTGTAGTTAATTATCAATGCTGATAATATACTAATTTAGCAACGGTTATATCACGTTTACTGACAACATTGTTTATTGCTGAATCTGGAATGATGTAACAATATTTACATTTGGAAAATCACGCGAGTATTAAACAGAATGGTTACGGAACATTTAACGTTTCTGACGTATCACATTTGGACATAGTTTCTGGTGTTTTCTAGTTGAGACTTCTTTTAGTTCGATCCGATCAATGCCACCTCTATTGAATTGGAACAAACAAACATGCGAGTATTAACCTGAACAATTATTCTGCAGGTTAGCCAAAAACGACGATTGAAAAACGAATGTCCGAGCTCCTTTCATTCGATTGATACCTAAATGTCACCAGTCGGTTTATTCTAATTATTAACATAACATGATATGCTGTCACTCAGATTACAAGTAATTTTCTCACGACATCGATCATTTGCATATTATTAATTATATAATGACGTTGAGACGCGTCGGTATATAATTAAAGGATTTTACATTGCCCTTTTAAATTGCTGCCTTGATCTATGAATCGTAAATCATATGCCAACCATCGAATCTTGTGCAAACAGGCAATGACTTGCAATTGTCTTCCCTGCTTACTTGAACCATTAATTAATTGATTAAAATTGATTTACTTCTCGACATATTTTTATGTCGTAGGGTTTAAATTTGAGCTAATTAATAGAAATCAATCAATCGTGATCAAACTTTGTAAGATTGAATTTGTAAACCATCGCCGATCACTTATTAAATGTACGTTGTGATCGAAGGAAACTGCTTACAAGTGTAGTCAAAACGCTGTTCCGTTTATATGACACCATTTTGAGCGAAATTTATTACAAATGCGAGCTTCGTGAAATTTTTCATCCTCTGGACGCAACACATTTTGGCTAAGTTACCAATTAGATTTGACCTCTGCCTTCACATCAAGTGTGAAATGATGTCAGGGTCCTTGAAAAAAAATGTAAATAGCCACAACACGCAACGTTGAGTTTGTCACGCTTTCAATCTACGGTCTTTGAAGTCGACCGAGAAACTTTTTTTTCATGAACCTTTAGCTTTACTTTTTGCTGCTTCTGAAAGTTGACAGTTAGTTCCCAGATGGGTCAGGGCAAATTGCAGCCATAGCAGGCGCTGGAAGCCAGCATCATACACCATGGCCGTATCTGCCGTTTGGTATCCAACGTTTCCTACCCATTTTCCGACTGAGGCTCAATCGAATAGGGGTTCAAATACAGATTAACATTTATTGAAACTTCACATAACTTAATAAATAAGCAACCTCACTTGATATTCAGGTGTTCTCTAAAATGGGTATATTAGAAGTGTACAAAAAAACATTAATTGTGTGCATTTCAACCGTTAAAAAAGTTTGTTGCTGGCCGATGTCTACCAAAATTATGGATGAGTGGATAGTTCACGAACGTAAGCGTGTTTCGGTTTTGATAGGAGGGAAAGAGAAAGCTGGTCTCGTTTTCTGTGAGTGAAAACGATAATGAACAATGTCGCTGTCAACGGGATAAGTTGGGTTATAGAGAATTTTGCGCTCATGACGATGACTAGCTTTGATGACAGTTTAGCTACTGTCATCGCCATATGATGCTAGGCAAAGTCACCACCATGTGCAATCTTATCACTTACGTGACGTCAGCATATGAAGTGTACCGACGTTAATGTGACAAAGAATGTTGGAACGGTGTTCAGTATGTCAGAAATGGGATAACTCGCATGTGAGTAAGTTCTCAACGTAGGAAGACATGACTCTGAGTGAGACAGCGCAGTTGTGAAAGGAGTGACATAGCTTTGTCGTTTTGATGGTTATGATTGTAATTTTATCTTGCCAGGTCATCTGCCCTTTGATCTGATTTGTTTTTACGAGCTTTGTTGCGTTCATCCTGACAGAAAATGTCTGCAGATATATCTAACATTTAATATTTTATTGTACCAGGAGACACACTATTT